GCTGGTGAATCTGTCACATCCTGCTTGTTCAAAAGATTATTGATGCTGCATAATTCATCAAAGCATGACCTAGCAATGGGTTCTGCTGCCAGAGGTGTCCAGTAACTGCTTCTGTTGCAGCTGCCCATAAAGTGATGCTCCTTGTTTATGAAAATGGCCTCTGTCTTTGTGTCGGCCCATGAGCCTTTCAATTAATACACCTAAAACTGTCAGTCTTGCCTTGGACTCAGATAAAATGTGAAAGTCCTGTTCAGTGAGAAATGCTACCATTTTGACATTTCTTTGTGTTTTGCAATGGGAATGAAATAGGGAAATATTGACATTTTCTGTGCAACAGAAATTCTGGGAAGTTTCAATTAGGAAATATTATAGTGTTTTTTTTCTGACATTATTTATACAGCGATTTTTTTTTTTAACGTTCTCGCAGTTGAAATATTTTGATTTATTAACAGTGAACAAAATATGCTGATCTGTAATGTTCAGGTTTGAATTATTTCATTACTTCCTGATAGCAATTATTTCCTGATAATGAAGTACTGCTCGATGGGAGTTGCAGTTCAGAAGCTTGGCGCATTCACTCTGACCATCTCCCATTGCCTGATTTACATCTCCTGTAGCGTATCATGCAATTTGGTCAGAATGAAATGTGAAATCTTACTGCCTGATGTAGTGATAAAGGAATCTAGTCTGTACTATGTAAGAGAGGTTCAGGCGTTGGTTCCCATGAAGCAGCATGCCACAGCCGGAAAATGGAAGTTCGTGTTCCAGTGTTCCGATTCTCAATGCAATATTGCAGGTCACCTAAAAAAAAATATAGGTTGAATACTTCCTCTGAGCTTCCTGAATAGAAGATTGAAAATGTAGGTGGCTAGAAAATTGAAAATATCTGCCACAGTTTGGAATGCACTTTCCCTTGCACAAACTGGGGCCGGGATCCAGTCTGCCTAAAATCTCTTTGCCATAGACTCCATCTTAGCTCACATACTTACTAGGTTTGCCTAACCCTGTAGGTAACGCTTCATTAAATATCTCCTGGTGAGTCTGAGAGGTCCATATCTTGATTCACCAACACCGGGTTAGGAGAGACATTTCAGGGAGACAGGTACTTATCTCCTTCCTAAGCTCTTCTATGGGTTGGTTTTAGGCAGTCAGTGGATTTCCAGCCAAGTCCACTGGAGAAGCCTGGAAAATCAGATGTCATCAAGACTGCTGAAGGTAGTGACTTCTGAAATAAAAAAGTGGTTGGAGCTGCCCCGAGAAGGGACAGGTCTTTGTGCAGGGTAGCTCCAGGGGGAATGCAACCTGGGCCTCTCACAGCGTGAAAGAGGGACCAGACTGCCGGGTCATGGCCAGATAACCCCAGTTCTGCGGGAGCCAGGTGTGCAAGAGTCCTGGAGAACAAGTCTTATGAGGAGCGGCTGAGGGAGCTGGGGTTGTTTAGCCTGGAGAAAAGGAGGCTGAGGGGAGACCTCGTCGCTCTCTACAACTACCTGAAAGGAGGCTGTAGTGAGGTGGGTGTCGGTCTCTTCTCCCAAGTAACTGGCGAAAGGACGAGAGGAAATGGCCTCAAGTTGCGCCAGGGGAGGTTTAGATTGGACATGAGGAAAAAATTCTTTACTGAAAGAGTAGTTAAACATTGGAAGAGGCTGCCCAGGGAAGTGGTTGAGTCCCCATCCCTGGAAGTATTTAAAAGACGTGTAGATGAGGCACTTAGGGACATGGTTTAGTGGGCATGGTGGTGTTGGGTTGACGGTTGGACTCGATGATCTTGGAGGTCTCTTCCAACCTTAATGATTCTATGATTCTATGATTCTTCTAGGGACATTTTGCCTCTTGTGTGGTTTAATGTAAAATGCATACATACTCCGGGGAGAAGGAGTTGTAGCTCCAGTTCCCCGTACCTCTAGATGAGCCTGGCTGCTTCCCAGCTGCTAGGTTTGCTGACCTGAAGTAACATCTGCTTGTGCCTGCTTTGGGCCGGGAGCCCTGCCTTCCTGGCCAGCTGCAGCAAGGATGATGTTACCAGATACCAGAGTCTTTATGGCACCTCTCAGGGGTGGTGGCTGCCCCCCTCACCCCCCATCCCAAGGGAGCAGAGCACTTAACCCATTGCTTCCTACTTCACCCATGGGTGTTTGTGTCACTAGATCGCCACTGTTGTCACAGCCGTCCTGCTAGGCACCTCCAGCCAGGCGAGGGCTGGGCAGCTCTGGATGCCAAGAGGGTTGTCCTCTGTAAGAACCGCTGTTCCCTACAGAGTGATGAGGGAGGAAAGGAATTAGGAAGGCAAGATCATCCTCTGCAGGTTTTTCAGAGGCAGCATCCTCTCTCCATGCACTCAGCAGGGGACGTAGGCAACTGGGCTAGACAGACAGGTACCTCTCCTGCCTGTCCCCAAGACAAGGCAGCTTGAATTTCAGTGAAGTCGTACTGAAATGAGGCAGCTGGCACAGACAGACTTGACAACACCCACTGCTTTCTGTTGGATTGTCTTTCTGATGAAAAGATCCTGGTTTCTGATCAGGGAAAGGAGGGGAGGAAGAACCACAGGGCAAGACTGCCATTCTGCTTTGCAGGACTTTCCTTTTTCTCTGCTCAGCAATATTGCATCAGCAACAAAATAGAAATAATATGTAGAGAAGGACCCATCCAAAGCTCAGTCATAAAATATCAAGCCACCTTCAGCTCTCAGCTTTAGGACATCGAGTGTGACAGCCCCGCAGCATTTGGGCTGACTGTTTGCTTTAACCTCTCATGGGTGGTTAATACTACCTAACAGAGGAGTAAAAAGTTTAGAATTGTAAAATACTCTTTCAATCCTGGTAGTAATTAGCTCTTAGCAATGTTAGTGCTTTGCCAACTCAGAGAGAACTAATCCCCTTCTGTCATAGGAAAGAAAAAAATGTAATAGCTGTGAGAACTGTGGAGCTTATTTTCAAATAGATGCCTCAGCATTTTGATATTTTCTGTGGGATTAACTAGTAACACAGGAAGGCTAATACATATGCAGAGCTTTCATTTGCTTCTGTGACAATTTGCCAGGGGCAAACTGAACTGTGTCGTGAGAAATGGTGTCGTTTCCCCCCCTTCCTTGTCAGCTGAAGCGAAAAGACTTGTTGGTAACATAGAAACAATTTGCAACTTATCATCAGTTCAAGAGAAGTTTCTTTTAGCTCCTTGCTTCATGTTTCTGCTTTTCTTCTGTTTCTTTTTTTCTTACCAAAACAGAAAGGGCTGCCATTTTATAGGCTCAGAAGCCATATAATGAAAGGTGTAAAAGCGTTGCAGTAAAAGCATCTTTGCTGACATAAAATAGATACTGAAGCTCTTTCTGTACCATTTTGTTACACTTTTCCCCCTTCAGCATAGTTGCTTCTAGCTCAAAAGAAGATGATTTGCTCTGCTGTACGTATAACCCTAGCTCCTAACGATGGCTTTGTGCCATGCTTTGGTGGTCTTCTGAGGCTGGCTCTGCGAGCATCTGGTTCTGATGGGCACAGGCAGCGATGACTGCAGAATACTAATGCTGGGGCTGGCTCCCACAAGGCTCCACTTCTGAAAAATGCTTTAGCCATTCAGTGTCTCTGCACCATGCTGAGCAACAGGAGGGCAGAAAAGCCATGCTCAGGGATTTTTTCTTCAATGCAGAGCAAGAAGCCGACAGGAACGATGGCTCTTTGCTTCACATTGTTGTGCCCAGGCTTCTTTCAGAGCTGCAGTCATTTATATGCATAAATATCAAGCCTGTCACTTGTTGCAGGCTTTGATAGCATTTGTGTAACAAAGGAAATGGAGGGAGAAAAGAGCTGAACATCTTCTATTGCAGACTTAGAAAACGAATGGCTGTGTAGCTATGGCGATTACTTTCTTTCTGTTTTTATTAGATCACTGTCCTCTGCAATTTGTTTTCCTTCCTGTCCTGCTGTCCCGTGTAAAGGACCATGAGAGGACCTCCCCCCACACCCCCTTTGTCTTTCTCCCACACAGGGGATATCTCAAAGAATTGCCTACCAGTAACAATTGTTACAGCAAAGCTTCTTGCCATATAATGACACAGATTATTTTTTTTGCTTCAATTTTTTTCTTCCATTAACCATCTGACAAAGTCACTCCACATCAACCGTTTCATGCAGACATATGAGAACTCTGCTGTAATTGTATTTTTTTATTATTTACTTGATTTTTCTATATCTCCCCTAGGCAAAATGCACGCTTGCTATTTGCTCTGCATACCATATCTTTCTGCAGCTTCTAAATTGAGGCTGATGGTATGTTTACCGGTCACCTCTGGAAAGCTATGCAGTTGCATCTAGCTTTTCTCTGGGTCTTGCTGCTATTCTGTATTGAAAAACAACTAAAATACAATACTTGTATAATACTGCTTTTCCATTAAAGCAATTGCTGAAGTATCACAGGAATGTTATTCTGATGCCAGGAGGGAGGAGGGAGAGGTTCGTACTGATTGCCAATAGGAGGGAAAAGAGCCTGTGATACAATCCCCCTGTTAAATGTGGTCTGCACAATGAAAAGCTTGGGAAGCCTTTCTAAGGCTTCACACGTTTACGCTTTGTGCCCAGGCTCGGGGTTTCAGACACGGAGGTGGTTTCAGAACACCACACAGGGGGAACCATTTCAGCAAAAATATCCAGATTACCTGGATAATTTATTAAACTGTCTTGGATCTCCATCCACATGCATCTTTATTGGCATGCAGCTCCAGCAGAACAGAAGTGACAGTTTCTCCCCTGCCCTCCAACCAGCCATTGCTCTGCTTCTGAGCTATCAAAGAGTTTTCAGGGACAACAACAGACAGAGCCCCTGTGAACATTCCCAAGATTAACTAGAGGTTTCTTTTTTCCCCCTGAGTAAGTGTAATTTTTTGTGCTCCCTGCTCTTACAAGTCTTCCCTAATCTTATAAAAACCTTGAAGCAGTAGTATTATAGTCTTGATGGTCTGAAGATATAAACAGTGCAGGATTTGTAGGGACAAGTAATATCTTTTCCTGAAGAAGGACTTGTGTGCCTGAAGGCTTGTCTGTTTTTTTACCCAACTGTATCAGTTGGTCTAATAAAAGATATTACCTCTCCCTACAAACTTTGCCTTACTTATTAAAACAGTTGCCTCCAGGACACAGAACACTATTAACTGGGTGGAAAACTCCAATGTCAAGGTGATAGAGTGGAGTTCAGTGGTGTGATTTTCATGCCCCGAGCCAACTGGCACAAATTAAAACAAGGTGGGATGAACACTGTCCACCCTGATCATTCTGCACACCATTAGTGTCCCTTCCACCCCCACTCTACGTCAGTATTTTTGTCTTTCCTACCTCTCAGCTGTATGGGGCAGCTCTTTTCTAACACAGAAATGCACATTGGGTAACATCTTTTGGATGCTACCTCAGTAGAAACAGCAACTCTTACGGTATGCTTGATGAAACTTCTCTGTCTTCTGATTATTTTCTTGGTTGCTATATCTCTGTACATCATTTTTAGTTTACTGCAGGTGAGCTTGACAGAGATTTAAAAAAGCCCAGTGTGACTCAGTAGACTGTTTCTCCTTTAAGGATCACCTAAATGTTGACAACTTGGTTACAAATCTTAAAGGATATTTTTCTGTTTATACTCTCAGGTGAACTTTCTGTAGAAGGCATACAAGACCCATTCCTTGTTAGTGTACATATTATCGCAGACCCAGGAGAATCCAAGACTCTTCAGCAAGCCATCGATAAGCTTCTAGCCTGGATCCATCCGGACCTCCAGCTGTTCCGAGTCTCAGAAAGACGAGTGCCCAAGAAGTGCAGGAAGCCAGGTAAGGCTGGTGTTTCTCAGCCAGCCCTTGCCGTCATTCTGTTTCTGCAGGAGGAATATGGAGAAGAACCGATCTTGCAGCTCCATGAAACCTTTCAGCGGCCACCTTGGCACTACCACCACACAGAGCGAGTGCATGGGAAGTTCCTCCCTTACATGCCATGCAGCCAGGACTTTTACACTTTGGCTCCAGAGACTCCTCTGTGGGCCATTCGCCCAGTGCACTACGGGAAAGAAATTATCCGCTTCACTATATACTGCAGGAGTGAAAACTTTGTTGACATTTTGAAATTGTACGAGTTAATACTGAAAAGACCAGTATGTCAGAAAAAAACGGACTTTTGTGTTTTTCCTGTCTATTCTAACATGGAAATAGACATTCAGTTTTCTTTAAAAAAACTTCCGAAGGGCCAGGTGCCAATGCCGACAGAGTCAGCAGTGCTGGAGTTCAGAGTAAAAGATGTGGGGCAGCTTGTGCCTCTCTTGCCCAACCCTTGCAGCCCCATCAGTGAAGGCAGGTGGCAGACAGAAGACCATGATGGAAATAGGATCCTTTTGCAGGTAAGTTCAGCACACAGGGAAACAGAAGCACATTTATTGGCTTTGTGCAGGAAAGCTTAACCTGCAATGGCAGCCAGAAAAGGAGGCTTTTTTTTTGCTCTATCCTAGGAGAAAGAGCCAGGACAGTACCGCTAAAGAAAGAACTTGAAACCCCTTGCTGTGTGTGTAACTAATCAGGAAAGCAGTGGATGATACTATCCAGATATCAGTCAACCTCAGTTTATGCAAAGAGTGATGTGAGATAAGGTAGCTGTTTAAAAGAATGAAGAGAGAAGGAATTATGAGCCCAAGTGGAGAAATGACGGCTGATGGGTGTAGTTTTGTAAGAAATATGGGCACAGAACTGACAGGGGTTTATAAAATAGCTCTCAGTTACGAGATTTTTATGGAAGACAAGCAGAATTCCTGATGGTACTCATTATTTTCTAGCATCACAGGGTGACAAACTGCATCTCTCTTTCACATTGTGATTATGAGGATGGGGAGAGAGGTGGTGAAGGAAAAGAAATGCACCCCAAAGAGCAACCTAAGAGAGACATTCCTACAGACTCTCTTTTTGAACTAATCTCAAGTGCTCGTAACCAAGTCCTGAAAGATAGTTTATTTGTTAGGACATCTGTAGGCACCATATCTGGGCAATGTATCAGCATGCTCTGCTTCACTACACCACATCCAAGGGAGATAAAGGGGATAACAAGCAGCAAGCTTTTAATAGCTGCCTGCCCTGCAGAGGGGGTATCATCTGTGGCAATCCAGAGCCAGGT